AGCTCATTGAAGAAGCAGAATCCTGCTGTGTGAACTACTTGCTGGGCTTGTCATTATTGCCCAGAGAGCAGATCTGAGGAGCTTTGCAGTTCTCTACAATCTAAGGGAACTGTTTATCATTGAAATAGTTTAAAATTGCTCTAGCAGCCCAAGAGTAGCATAGAAGTGGCTTTATCTAGCAAGGGAGCAGAGAAAAGGAGCTGGTGACATTATATGGGACAGATTTGTCCCTAAAAGAGTCCACTGATATCAAAATCTACAGTCCAGGGTCTTGAACTCTGATAAAAGTTAGAATATGGTAAGTCCATAGAGATCGTGATTTTCTTTAAAGCATGACTAGGAGGGTCCAAGAGGTGCCAATGTTTTAGTCTACTACATACAATCTAATTAGAATAGATTAAATAATAATCCTGTAGCCAGCTCTGCTTACACATTGTGAATTTGTTTGAAAACAAATAGCACGGCAAGAAATGGGAATGAGAAAGGTCAGCTCTTTACTTAGCCCCGCCTTAGCATTTTTTCAGAACTTGACATGCACCAAATTGAACGTCATCTGACTGTATGAGGAAGCACTTGTAGGATCATAGGATTTTAGATTTAGAGCTAAAAGCGGCCTCAAAGGCCATCTCCTCCGACCCCTTGATTTCACAGATGAGGCTTGGGAAGGTTAAATGATTTGCCCACAGTCAGAGAAGCAGTAAACATAAAAAATGGGATCTGAATTCTGATCTTCTAACTCTAGAACCAGGGGATTTTTCTGCATTTTGTATTTCTCCAGTAAATAGAAAATTCTCCAGAAAACAGAAATTCTGTGAAGGCAGAGATGGGCTTGTTTGTCTTTGAATCCCCTACATTTACTGCAGTGCTTGGGATTTGTTGTTCAGTCATTTTCAGTCATGTCCAACTCTTTGTGATTCCATTTTGGGGTTTTCTTGGCAGAGATACTGGACTGGTTTGTCATTTCCTTCTCCAGCTCATTTTACAGATGAGGAAACTGAGGCAAACAGGGTTCAGTGATTTGTCCAGAGTCACACAGCTAATTAAGTTTCTGAGGCCAGATTTGAACCTGACTCCAGGCCTGGTGCTCTATTCACTGCCCCTCCTAGTTGCCTAGTGGGTGCTTAATAAATGTTTGTTGAATTACATTTTACAGAAGGACATTTTGTTCTCTCTCATGTCAGAAAAAGATGGTATGCTAAAAACAGTTGCGTGGGCTGGCTATCATGATGTTACATGTTGAAGCTATGACTATGTTGGTAAATTCCATTTTCTGACTTAGAAATGGTATTGAAACTTGGTAATGCAATCAACTTTTTTATTATACCAAATTATGGAAATGCTTGTTTGATTCCATAAATTAAAAAAAAATAAATAAAAGTTTTAAAAAAGGAAAAAAAAACTTGGTAGCAGAGAGAAATGCCTTGATTTCAAAGATGCCAGTCAATTCGTGCTTTTCTCTAGAGATCTGTCCAGGTCATCCATCCCAGTGCTGTTTTCATGCTGAGGGCAGAACCTGCTTGAAACTTCAGGGTTCATGCATAATTCCTGCATGTGCCAACGATTTGTAGTCTCTGGGTGTTTCAAGACCAAGTGTTTAATTGCATTGCCTTTGAATAAGAGTACTAAGATTTGGAGCCTTAACTGAGTGAACAGGATTTGAAAGTATTCAAGGTTTACTGTCATGAGGAAAAAGTATTTACTAATCACAGAATCATAGAATTTCAGCGTTGGAAGGAACCGCAGCAGCCAACCAGGTCAAGCTAGTATACAATACAGCCAACAAGTGGTTATCTGGCCTCTGTCTGAAGATCCCAAGTGTGAGGGAGAACCTATACTACTAACCCTGATCCAGGGGCCCATTCCCCTTTTGGCCAACTTTTTTAAGGAGTTTTTCCTGCTGTCTAGCTAAGGTTTCTCTTTACAACTTCCTAGTTCCTTTGTAACTGCTCCTAGTCGGGTTTTCTGGGGCCAAGCAAAAGAAGTCTAATCCCTCTTTAATATGACAGCTTTTTGAATACCCGAAGATGGCTTTCATAGCCCCCTTTCAAAGCTCCCTTGAGCCTTCTCTTCAGGCTGCCTGTCTGTTGCTGTTGCCTAGAGAATTGAAATAGTCATGGTGCTTCACTCACCAACTCAGCAGTACCAATGCAGATAAAGATGTGGACAGAGAAGGATTCAGCATATTTTTAAAAATGATGTGGAAAGAGTTAAGCTTGTGAACAAATAGATCTTTGAGATGCAGTGCTGGATTTGGAGTAAGGAGTCCTGGGTTTTAACCCTGTCTCGGACTCTTACTAGTTGTGTGCTTGTGGGTGACTCACTGTACTTATTAGAGCCTCTGTTTCTTCACCTGAAAAGTGGGGATGATTATACTTGAGCTATTTACCTCACTGGTAGTGAGAAAAGTACTTTGCAAACTTTAAAATTCTGTAGGAATGTGGTGTTGTTTAGTCATGTCTGAGTCTTCATGACCCCATGAGTCATGCTATCTATGGGGTTTTCTTGGTACATATAAGTGGAGTAATTTGCTATTTTCCTCTCCAGTAGATTAAGGCAAACAAGTTAAGTGACCTACCCAAGGTCACACAGCTAGTAAGTGTGAGGCTGGATTTGAACTCAGGTCTTCCTGATTCCAGGCCCAGTTCTCTATCTACTGAGCTATCTAGGTTCCCCATAAAAATGTGTTCTACTAGTTTTTTTATATGTTGTATTTAGGCTGAGTTGCATTGACATGTACATGGTAGTCAACAGGATACAAAATAGATTTTTTTTTAAATCTAAAAGTCCCTTTTATTTCATATGTTTTAAAAGTGGATTTGAAATCTGTAGATCTATTAAAGTTCAGAATATTGGTCAAAATTAAACGAATCCTTGTACATAACGTCATCAAATCTAGAGTTGAAGGGGACCTTCCACATATTCTAGACCAAGGCTTCTTAACCTTTTTTGTGTCATGGACCCTGCTGGCAGCCCAGTGAAGCCTGTGGACCTGTTCTCAAAATTATAGTTTTAAATGCATAACATAAATATGTGGATTACAGGGGAAACCTATTGTGTGGAGTTATAGTTACCAGAAATTTTCATGGACCCCAGGTTAACTGCTTTAGCGAGTGCAGTGCCCTCATTTTACAGATCAGAAGATTGAGTGAGGCCAGGAGAAGTTAAATTACTTGCTCTTGGTCAAGCAGCTGGTATGATATAACTACTACCCTACTTTTGTGCTTCTCTTTTGTTTACATCTCTTCCTACATGCTCATCTTTGTTAGTATCACACCCATTGAGCAAGGCAGGCTCCTGGAAAATGAGGACAGCACCTGTTGTACTTGCTTGTCTGAAACATCATCTTTAATGATCAGCCTCCGATGATGTGTATGTGTTGGAAACCCCAATTAGAGCCATGTGATTTTAGTGTTGGATGAATGCACAATTGTCCTTGCTTTGACATGCCAACTGAAAATTACTGATGGTCAAGGAGAGAGGTCAGTATGATGGCAATACTAGCAGCTGGTGGCATCTGGATTTAAAAAGAGATATGATCTATGTGGACAGCTATAAAGTAAATCAGCATTTGAATTTTAGCCCATTAAAAATAATTCTTGCCATTTACCATCTTGTACCAAAATCCATGATGCTGATTTGATTAAAAAGATTCAAGAGGCATGGTTTCTGGGTAATTTAATCATTTTATTATTAAGGCTAGCACATTATTAATAAAAGGATGTTCATTTGACCATCTCTCTTAGACCAAAGACAAACATGGTGACAGGCTCATTGTTTATATACTCTTTAAAGAGTAGGTGTTCTTGCAGGGTGGCAGTCAACTCTGATTGGATAACACAACGGGAGGTGGGCTATATCAAAATGAGAGGCTGAACAGTGACATCATGTCATCTTTGGACTGACTGGGTATTCATACCCAGACCACTTGTAGCCTTAGACAATCTATTCAAAGAATTTATCCCCACCTAAGCCTAAGTAGAATACTATGGGCCTCCACCAGGGTGGGGTCTTGAACTAGAAAGTTAGTCCAATCTCACCAGCGGTGTCCTTCAAGAAACTAAAACTTTTGAAATCAGGGCTTTACAAAAGGGGGGAACTCTGACTCTCCCCAATCATTAGTCTGTAATAATCATTTTTCTCATCTTTAAGTGATGGCTCCTGTCCAAGGTGGGAGAGGAGCATTGTGGCAACTCACATCCTTGCCTTCTTTTTTGTGGGGTGTTCATTTGTTCTGGGACCCAACGGAAGGTTCCAGTTCCTCCTGCACCTCAGCAACCTTTATTTCCATGAAAACAAGGTTCTCTTATTTCTGTTTCTATAAGCTGCTGGGATTCAAGGGGGAATGAGGTCCTAGTACCTTACTGGTCCAGTATTGTTCAATAGCCAACAACAATAGCCAATAGTTCAATAGCCAACAAGCCAGGCAAATTGTTCAATAGCCAACAAGTGATTTCACAGTGATTCTTTTGGGATTCTCAGACTGGAGAGTTTCTATTTCTACCACGGCTTTAATGTGACTAGAAGTATAGAATATAGAAGAAACCACATCCCCATGCGGACTTGTTCACTCATGCCCTGAGAACTAATTGCTTGACAGGTTCCTGTCCTTTCCACCTGGTGCTGTTTTGTTGTTAGTTTTAACTAAGTTTCCTCTCATTAAAAGATAATTACCTGGTTTTAACTTTTGAAACATCTGAATTGTTAGTTGGTAGTATTTTAGCAAAGTCTCTAATTTACAAATGCCATCTGAGGACTTTGCCTCTTCCTAAAGAAAGGCAAGCATTTAATCAGCTTCATTCTTGAAAGCTTGTAAAACCATACGTCAGTTTTTAAGTTGCTTTTCTTTTTTAGAACCAGATACATCTTGAGTATTTCAATTTATGAATTTTCCAGAGAGCCAAGTTCATATGAATATTTCTTTTATTCCGTCTTGAGCTTTAAAATGAGTTGTCAGAGATTGTAAATGTGCTTTGTCTTCTTTCTTTTCTTTTTGGCTGCAGATGCAAGAGACGCAGAGCAGCTGAGCAAGAATAAGGTTACGCATATTCTCTCCATCCATGATAGTGCCAGGCCTATGCTTGAGGTAAGATCAGCACAGCCTCGTCCTGTGTGCGTCCTTGCCTATGCGTATATGTCTGCATGTAGAGCATGTTTTAAAGCCTTTACTTCAACCGTTATCAGTAATGATGGTGAAAACGCATTAACGTTTCTGTAGCATTAAATGTGTAAATCAAAGTTAATCTGTTACACAGCTGAGTGCTACAGTCTTCTGGCTGTGAAATCATTAGCAGTGTTAATTCTGCCTGTTCATCCTTATTTATCTTCATTGATGTTTTTGGTACCAAACGAAGTCAGCTTCATAACATTCCCCTGGTAGGGCAGCCCTGTTCCCCATTGACCTAGTGACGAGGGAGAGAAACCTGGCTCTCAGCATTTTCCTCTGAATTTAAAGCACACTTCAAAAACACACATTTTTGTTGTCTCTTCCAAAGCCAGCTCCTGTGTGTAGTGCTCAGAAAAGCTTAGGCACTTCCGTTTCCTGATCTTTCCCGCTTAGACTCAATTATCCATGGTTGGCATTTAGAAAAAAGGCAATTAAAGGTGAGTTAAAGCTTGTCATTTTCCTGGGACTCTGCCCCAGAAAAGGCTGGGGCAGAAGCTGTTATTGTACTTCAAGTGTATCAGGGTAAACAGGGTGTGTCTGCCTGTTGATGTACACTAATTCCAAAAACATTTTCAAGTTTAAGCTGACGGACGGTTTGAACTGTTGGTCCGGAGTAAAATCTATTTCTGTGAAATAGCATTGACCATCTAACTTACAGATGATAGCCACGAAACCATTTTTTTTTTTTGTAAAGATGTGTGTTTTTCTTTTTTTAGGGTGGGGTGGCTGGAGGGTGGGGGACCTGGAGAGCTTGCTCTGAGAGAATTCTGCTTTAGCCTGTTTTCATTGAAATTCAAATGTGGCAGGAGTTAAGTAGCTTTTGCCTGCTAATTCTCCTGTTTTCTTTAGGTACTGCATCAGAGTTTCTGTAAGCATGAAGCTTATCTGAATATAGAGTAATAAATGAGTCTTTAGTTCTCTGTATATTCAGTCATTTTCAGTCTTGTCAGACTCTTTGTGATTCTACTTGGGTTTTTCTTGGCAGAGATACTGGAGTGGTTTGCCATTTTTTTCTCCAGCTCATTTTACAAATGAGGAAACTGAGGCAAACAAGGTTAAGTAACTTACCTGGGGTCACATAGCTAGTAAGTGTCTGAGGCCAGATTTGAATTCAGGTCCTCCTGGCTCCAGGCTGGGTACTTTATCCTGTGTGCCACCTAGCTGTTCTTTGTATAGCCAGGGACTTAACATGTGAACTGTTAGCTAGGTCACCCAGTGGATAGAGCAGGCTTTGCACCACCTGCTGCCTTCGGGTGGCTTATAGCCGGCATGCCAAAGGAATTCTGGCAGCCAGCGAAAAATATAGAGGAAAATATCCTTTGTACGTAGAGGAAATCTTTTGGCGCTGGCCCATGGGCCATAAGCGGCAGGTTGCAGGTTGTGCAGGCCTGAGATAGAGCTCTAGACTTGCACTTAAGTTCATATGTAGACTCAGACACTAGCTGTGTGATCTGGGCAAGTCACTTTCTACCTGCCTCGGTTTCCTCATCTGTAAAATGGGGATAATAATAGCACTTCTCCCCGAGGGCTATAATGAGAATCAAATGATGCAATATTTATAAAGTACTTTGCCAGTCTTTAAGTGCTACATAAATAGCTATGTTAACAAAGAAATTTTAAGGTGTGCTAGGTTTTTAGGAGAATTAGAACTTAAATGATTCTACTTTCTATTGGATATAGAATCAGGCTCTCATTTCTGCTACTTTACTAGGTATAAGGACTAGGACAGATCACTTTAGTTCTCTGTAGAGGGTTGGTCTAGGTCAGTGGTATCAAACTCATAGAAAGGGGAAGGGGGCCACTGAACCATAAACATATTGACTTAGAAAGCCACATATTAACATTCTCTGTGTTCTGTTATATTTTTATTTATTTTCTTAAATATTTCCCAATGACCAAATCTGGTTCTGGAGGCACTGGGACAGGCCACTGGTTGGACACTTCTGCTGTAGGTAAACTCTAAAGTTTCTTGCATCTCTAAAATCGATGAACCTGTGTCTTCCTGAATCACATGGCTTTGCTTTGAATTCAGATACTGTAATTGCATGCCATTCCTAGTCTCACTGAGGACATTTCAGCACCGTCCCACAATTCCTTTGTCAAGAAATGCTTTTTTTTTTTATCCTTTTTTTTTTAAGTAATTTAAGCTTTACTGATAGCCTGTAGAGACCCATTGGAGGTTTTTGACAAGAGGAAACATTGACATTACCAAAGGTAATTTAATCTGGGAGCATGATAAAGAAAGAACTGAAGGTAGGGAGAGAATCAAGGTAGATTACAGATGGGTGATGATGTCGTCTTTGTAATTCCCTCTCACTGCAGAGGCTATGAAGTTTTCGTTTGCTGAGGATAGTTCACCATCCGAAGAGTAGCCAAGATGTACCAGAGTTATATTCTGTTTAGTTCAGCTGCAGTGAGTAGCCTTTAAATTCACAGAATGAGGTAGGGGATTTTCTTCATTTTGATAGATGTCAAGAAGATCCCAAAGACCATTCTCTATGGTATTTAATAGAGCAGATCAAAGTCTGCGACTCTGGTCTATAACTATGCACGTGTTATTTGGACCCTGAATTACACAATCATGGAATCTTAGAGCTGAAGAGGGAATCATCTAGTCTATTGTAAAAAGACAATATGGTAGATATAATGGGAGAAGGGCCAGTTCTGAAGTTATGAGACCTGGGTGTGAATCCCTGTCTCTTATTTACTCGTTGTGTGACCCTGGACAATAGTTTTATCTCTTGGAACCTCAGTATGCTTATGTGCACAATGGGGATAATAATGCTTATAGCACCTACTAAAATTGTGTGGACAAAACCATTTTGTAAATCTTAAACATTGTATAAATTGGAGCTATTATTATATAGCCTCCCCTCTTTTTTTTTTTTT